AGTGTTGCCCTGCTCTGTTCTGACTACTGCCTCTTGGTCCAAGTATAGGTTTCACATTAGCACAATTAAATGTTCTGGGATTCCCATTCTTCTCACAGTCAGCCACAGTTTGTTATGATCCACACAGTCAAATGCCTTTGCATAATCAATGAAACACAGATCAGTCTAGGGACTACAGTGTATCTGATCAGTGAGACTGGCTCGGGATAGAACAGGATTCAGAGCTATTTGGACATAGGGTCAAAAGTGACTCAATGGCACATAACAACAAGAAAGTGAAATAAACTCTAAAACCTTTAAAATAACTAACTTACAAAGTTATAAAAAGGTCTTACCTCCTTGGAAAAAAAGGGTCCAAGAATGGAATAGTACATGCTGGAACACAAGTTAATGGAAGCTGCAGATATCAGTGTAAACAGCTGTTCTCTTGAAAGCCACCTAGGAGCCTCTCCTGCAGTTCCCATAGGGTCATCACCTTAAATGCAAACATGCTTCAATTAAAGGTTTGTTCAGTAGCAGGATGAGTCTCTGGATGGTGCCCTTAAGGGTTGAAAAAGTTGGAAGTCCTAACCCACTCAGCAACACCTATCAAGTCAATCCTGGATATCTGCATAGAAAAGTTAGTCCTGCCCATCAACAAAAGAATAGATAGAGAAACTGTGGTACCTTCACACAATGGCATATTACACAGCACTGAGAAACAACAGCGAACTCATGAAACATTTGAAACACTACATGACATGGATAAGTCTAGAGGTCATTATGGGAAGTGAAATAATTCAGTCACAAAAAGACAAGTTCTGTATAAGACCACTGATATAATGTCATTGTCATAAAACAGGACTGACATGGGGGGTAGGGAGTAACTGTGAAAAGAGGGGATAAATAATGTACACTGCATTAAAACAGATGAGGGAAAGAACTACTTAAAAGAAATATATGATTAGGTATTATTTGCATCACAACAGTCCAGAATAAGAGCTGTATAGCTCTCATATAATCCGATTTTTTTTTAAAAAAAATTGTTATAAAAATAGGAGGGTTAGGGGGTAGGGAAGTGGTAATGGAGAGAGCAAGTAAACAGTGGATGGATAATGAACACTGCATCTGGTATTAGAATAGGTGAAAGGAAGGTCAGGCTGAAATCAATGGATAGACATAGTATGTACTGCAATTAACAATCTAGAACAGGATCTAGACAATGAATCGAATTGGGAGAACAAAATAAAATGTGTATGAATGAGTGGATGAAAACAGTAATTTCTAATTTGTACACTCTCACACAAATACAATTTTTTTTAAAAAGTCAACAACACCACTGTCACCTCTCTTATTCAATATTGTATTGGAGGTCTTAGCTATAGCAATAAGACAAGAGAAAGGAATAAAAAGTATCCAAACTGGCAAAGAGGAGGTAGAAGTATCTCTCTATGCAGATGATCAAATACATTACAATTGTGGAAAGACTCGGTGAAGAAGCTCAATATCAGCAGTGAAAACCAGGCCGGGTGCTGATTGTGGGACAGACCCCCAACTACTCATATGCAAGTTCAAGCTGAAGTTGAGGAAA